GTTTCTGTCCACTTTGAAGTGTGTTTTACGATTATCTGCGAGGAAAATGTACTGTTTTGTGAATGGAGTCTGGTTGGCCCATTGCTCGGTCTGTGGTGCTGGTTCTCCTGAAGGTTGAACAGATGTTTTAGCTGCTGCCGGTTGAGCAGAACGACTGCATGTGACAGATGTTCAGCTGCAGGATGGTGCTGCCGCAAACCTCCACAACCTTAAAGGACAATTCCAGCACAAGTCACCGTGTTTCGCTTGTTACCACCACAGACTGTCGGGACCAGCGGCTGTTCGGTCTTAAGAACCAAAGTATAAATTAAGTGAATAATAAAGAGGTGAGACCTCCTGTAGTGCTTGTATGGTCTGTAGGTTCCGCCATGTTTCTACAGTAGCCCAGAAGGGACAAACCAAGTTTTGTGTTTCTCAGTCACAGTTTGAAGGCTGAGCACTAGATGCCACTAAATCCTTCAGACTGGTCCTTTAAAATGTTGGATCACTGTTGATGAAAAATGATACTCAACAAAGTAAAGTACACAATAAAAGCTTCAGTACTATCAGAAATATTGATAACGCCTTCATTATTGAACATCCAGAGCTGATAGTGATAATGAACCTTTCAGGCTGCAGAATCATCGACACCAAAGAGGGAAAAACTGGAAGCTAAACCTGCGCTTGTGCTGGATTTTTCCTTTAAGCTGCATGTTGACAGATAAATGAGGAGGCGGAGCAGCCGCTGCAGAGCGCCTCCTCATGACAGCGCCGGCAAGCAGCCGCCCACTTCCTCATCTTCCTGCCAACGTGCCACCCGAGAGCTGCGCTCCCCTCTGATTGGCTTGCCGGGTCTCTTACCGGTCTTTGAGGTCCAGTGGGCTCTGACTCTCTCCGACGGGGGCGCCCCGATGGCAGCGAGTGGCAGGGCGACTGAGCAGGGCTCCCGCCGCTCCTCCTCGACGCCTCCTCCTCCGTTAGCGTTAGCATCCCTCGGCTGCTGTCCCTGGTGTGGGTCTTCGGACGAACCACCAGCTCCCCTCCTGAAGGAACACAAAATGTCAACCAGAGTTAGAGACTGAGGTCTAAAAGTCGATACCATCTGACGGGTTTAATGTTTAATGTCGGCAGCTAAACTTACAAATAAGACTTCTAGTGTCTAACATTAGTCAGCAGAAAGTCATTTTTGTGCTTCCTCACAGTGAAAACTTTAGTTCAGTGATGTTATGGCATATTACAGTCTGTAATGCTAGGGCATCTCTCACATCAAAACAATAGGAAAAGAGAAGGCTTGATGACATAAGCTCCTACCTGCAGCCCTGAGCCTCCTCCGCTCCTCCTGCTCCTCCAGGGGTCGGAGCTCTTCAGGCTCTTCGTCAGTGGTTCCTGACGTGGTTGGTTGGAAGTCTCGTAGCTCTGCCTCTTTGTCGATGATCACCCACTCTTTGCTGTCAAAGTCCTCCTCCTCGGCCAGCGGGACGGAGCGGATGAAGGCATTGCTGTGCGCCTCCTGGTCGACGGACGCCACAGACACCTCCTGGCGGCCGCTGACTTGACGGTCGCCGCGGCAACCAGGATCAACGGACAGCATCTGAGCCGGCTGGGAGGAGTAAACATGACGGGATGGAGAACCGAGGATGTCCATCCTGGACCTGGAGGAGACAGAAAGACACAGGAGAATGTGACTCTAAGGTAACATCATCACTAAAGAGCTTAATTTTGACTTCCATGACTGTCTGACTCATCAAGTCTCAACTTGTTGAGGGCAAAGTCAAGTCAAAACCTTCTCAAGCCTTAAATGGAAATGGAAAGTCTTGTAAAAGGAAGACTCAGGTCAATTCTCAAGACCTTCAAGTTAAGGCCTGAGTCAACTCACAACTCTGGTCAAAGAGAGTCATTGAGGGCAAGTCCAAGTCAAGTCTCCATAAGCAGAATTTCAAATCATTCAGGTCTTTCAGATCTGCTGACCATCTAAACAGTTACTTTTATTTTATAAAGCTGAGAATAGGTCTTTCAAAGCAGGGGCCTAATGAATAAACACCTGGCACCATCTCAGTTTCAAATCTTTAAGCTCACAGCAGTCCTCGTTTCTGTGTCTTGAATCTTATATAATAGTCTAATATATATATCTATATACCTCCGGTTTCTTTTTGATCACAGCAGTAAGGGACGGTGTCACATTTTAGCATTTCACCAAATGGGAAAGCCTCCTTTATCAACAGGAACACTTGATAACGAGAAAGCTCCTCAACATGAAGACAATTTGAAGTTAGCGACCTTTAACACTGCTGACTAGTATTCAACATTGCTGTCTCCCGCCTTTACACCTCCTCCACAGTTTTCTGGCGTGAGGGGTCACCTCTGTCCGTAGGCGTCAGCGCGGCCCTCTGCAGCAGACAGGCGGTCAGATTCGGGGCTGTTGACCCGGCGGTACCGCAAGGACCGACCCTGACCTGTTGGTGACTCTGGGGCTCCACCTCGAACCGGCGACACTGGACATGCCCCCCGACCTGACTCCTCCTCCTGAGCCCCCTGACGAAAGACAGCAAGTGGTGTTTTATGGTCCGAACACAGACGCCATTTTAGCACCATTTGTTTTTAATATTAACTGTCACTTCTAACCTTGTTCAGGCTGATCCTGAGTCGGTTACGGTTGAAGTCCGTGTCCTCCCAGGCCTCTCCTGGCTCCCCGGCGTGCGAGACCCCTGTCTCCCCGGGGGGCCGACTGGGTGGGGCCGGAGGGGCGTTCTCCTGATCACTGAGATGTTCGTCCTGCAGAACGTCGTCGGTGTTCTCCCGCTGAAGATCTCCGGGAACCGGCGTCACGATGGCTCTGTGGACACAAGAGAATCAGCTTCAGATTTTACGCCATCCAGGTCACTGATCATTATCCTGAATATTTCAGCTCACTCCCACTAAAAGTTACTCATGGTAACAGGTTGCAAAACCCTCCACATCCCCAAATGCCGAGGACAGGACCTTGGTGAGCTCAATGGTAGTTACTGTCGGGAGTGAGAATAGCAATTCCAGTATATTCATCCTTGTCTTAATACAGTAGTTTAAGTTCTTATTTTGGTAGTTTTTGGTCTTATTTTGGTAGGTTTTGGTCTTATTTTGGTAGTTTTTGGTCTTTTTTTGGTAGTTTTATGTCTTATTTTGGTAGTTTTTTGTCCATCATTTCTATCAGTAATAATCAAACTGTACTCACTAAGTTAATATCTGAGTATGACTTCTTTTCAGTGATGATGGATTGAATGATAATATGAAAATAACAGCAATAACCAGAATGATCTTTTAACTGACGTTTCAACACCACAGAGTCAACGACTCACACGTGAGTCTGTTCTCCTGCACTGTAAAAGCAAATAGTAT